AGCGAGAGATGAGGTTGCAATTTAAAGGCATCATTCAAACCATAACGATTTAATCAGTCAGCTGACTCCTTTTTTTTCAAGTGTCGAAATATGGGAAAATTGTCCAAAAAATCCTAAACCCATTTAATGGTGGCCAATTCAATCCTAAATTTTTCGACTATGTCGATCTAATCCTAAACATTTTGAAAATTTGTCAATGTAGTTTTAAGACATTTTGAAGATTTGTCAATTTAGCCTTTCCGGCCAATTTTGACCGGATAATCATTGACATGGTGGTCTAGTTACCTCCAGTGCACACGCTAGCAGTTTCCAGCCAAAATTGATCATAATGACTAAATTGACAAATCGTCAAAGAGTGTACAACTTGATTGGCAAATCGTCAAAAATTTTAGGACTAAATTGATCCAATTGAAAGGTTTATAACAAAATTGGCGAATCGTCAAAATTTTTTTGACTGAATTGGCCGCCGTATGATAATTTCAGGACTTTTTGCACAGTGATCCCATCGAAACATTGCTCCGATGTTTGGAAAGGATACGAAAACATTTGCATGCGCGCTCGATCGGGTCATTGTCTAATTAATTGGTCGTCTGACTCTGGCCATGGAGAATCACATGAACGTGCATGTCACTAATTAAACTCGAAGAGATTCGACATACTTTTCTTTTTTTGCAGACGTATATGCAAATCAAGCTGTAATTTCATCGAAGAGATCCGACATACTTTTTCGAGAATCATGAGGTCCATTATTTCCCAGTCGGACCGAAGAAAAAAGGTGCAAAGGCCATAGTATGTGGGCCTCCATAAATTGGTGTTCTTTTCGTTTTTGGCCCTTATAAAACCACATAGAATTGGGAAAAATTACCAAAATAGTCATAAACCTATTATAATTGTGTCAATTCAGTCCTAAACCTTTTATATTTGTGTCAATTCAGTCCATCCGGCCAATTTTAGCCAGCCGGTATTAACGTGAACACCGGCCTGCGCCAGCCGTCCAGTCAACGCTGAAGTGACAAAAAAAATTCGAATTTTTTTTATTAAATTTTTTCTTTTTTTTTCTCCCTCCATCTTCTTCAACCTCTAGCCGGTCGCCGATCTTGTGACCGGCTAGAGGCTGGGGCCAACGAGGTCTTGTCCCTCGTCGGTCGCTTTGAGCGAGACTGACCTTGCCCAACAACAATGAGGTCGAGCGAAGCCAACCTCGCCAGTTGCCGGCGAGGACGTCACAACTGGGCAAGGCTGACCTTGCCAGTGGCCGACGAGGACGAGCCTCGCCAGATCTGGCGAGGTCTTGTCCTCGCCAGTCGCTTTGAGCAAGGCCGACCTTGCCAGCGACGGCAAGGACAAGACCTCACCCAGTTGCGACGTTGTTGGGCAAGGACGAGCCTTGCCAATGATGGAGAGGGCTCATCCTCACCTGTGATTGGCGAGGTCAGTCTCACTCGAAGCGACCAGAGAGGACAAGACCTCGCCGGCCCTAGCCTCTGGCTGATTACTGGTCCGACGACCGGCTACAGGTTGAAGAAAATGGAGAAAAAAAGAAAAAAATTAATAAAAAAATTCAAAAAATATATAATTTTTTTGCTACATCAGCGTCGGCCGAACGGCCAGTGTCCACGTCTGTACCGGCCGGCCAAAATTGGCCGGATAGACTGAATTGGCATAAATGCAAAAGGTTTAGGACTGAATTGGCACAATTACAATAGGTTTAGAACTATTTTGATAATATTCCCCACATAATTGTCAATAAGGCTAGGAATGTTGTGGTAACAACAATTACATACTCAAGACATAATCAGCAGTCATTGGTGAACAAGTTTAACTGAGTTTGGAGGTTGCGTTAAGCGATAATCCCGTGTTAATGAGAGTCTTTGAACTAGAGGAGAGAACTACATCATTTAAATAGAGAGAAAGAACTATGGCTAAGTATGGTTGCATCTATGAAATAAAGAGTTTTCGCATGTTTATACTCGATAGATGTAACATAAGATTTGTGCATATATCAACTAGAGTAGGGGTGAATAAATGATTCTAAGAAACTTAACAAAATATTGCGGAATTCAAAGCGTTAAGTTTGATATAAGTATGACCAGATAAAATAGAGTGTTGATATAAGCACATGGTTATATCAAGCAGTGCACTTCAATCAAGTACATGAATATGAGTAGAGAGATAGAGAACGATGCACACAAAGTTTATAGTGGTTTGGCTTTGTGTAAGCCCATGTTCACTCTCCCATACTAACAGCCTACTGGCTTGTTCTACTATAAATTTTCTTGAAGTTACAGTAAAATGTGCTGCTTATATTCAAGCACTTTTCCTCAAAGCTGGTGCTGTTTTTACTCAATCTGATAGGACTCATTATCTCACACCTAAGTACAAACTATAACACTGCCAACACTTCTCAAAAGATTGCAATTTGAATGCTCTCACAAAGAAAATGTAAAGTGTAAGGCTCTCTCTAAATTTGGATTTATGAAAGCTTGATCAATCACTCTCTTCGACGCCGTTATCTCCTTTTATACTCCTCAGCATCCAAACTTTCCGTTGGACAATGTTCAAAAGGATCAATCTTCTATTAAACCATTGGACAATTGTTGAGAAGATCAATTAGCCGTTGAATCGATCAATTATAATTCATATAGATTTGGTCGCCCATACAATCAAATATTGGCTTCTAAAGATAGAGTAGTTTTAGCTATGGAAATTATCTTACCTCTGGAATGTTTGTTGATCAATCAAGATATCTCGCTATTGACATTCAAAATATAGTTTGTCTAAGAAACTTTCCTATTTCGGAAAATACAAAAATAATTTAATTGCATGTTAGAGTGGATTATTTTTCTAATTTAGAATTGCGTATTTAGGAAATATGTAGTAATTTAGGAAAGTTTCAAATTTAGAATGAGATCTAATCTAAATTATTTCCTAATTTAAATTAGGTAATCTCATATTTCGTATTTTGATTTTAGAAGAAAATCACTAAAAAATAACATGAGCATAACATATAGATAAGGTGCATCGCATGCCATGTCATCATGCTTGCCATGACATTGCCATGTCATCATTATTGCCATGTCATCACCATATCATTTAGTGATTGCATGTTTCGGGTCATATAAATTAGATTGCATGTCATGTTAGGTTAGTGTAGTATTTTTGTCCGTCATTGAAATTAGGTCACGTCACGTGTTATCAATTAAATTAGAATTTATGTAGACATAACTTAGATTAGAATTGTATCTCATGCATTGCATATAGTTTAATTTTCATTAAAAAAAAACTCAAAAAGAATTAATTGGAATTGCATAATTATCTAGAAATCATGTTTAGGCTAGGCATAACATTTTTAATAAATACTTTGAAGATATTTGGAAATTAATTGGTAAGGTCATGCTTTGCGTGCTTGGGGCATTTAAATTCTTATTCCATTCTGGCAATTTATTTAATACTTGGATTATTGGTTGTTAAATGCTTGATTGTGCACCCCCCATGAACACCCATTGCATGTTAGTGATTTATGCTTAGAATTAATCAAGATTGTTTGCATAATATTTTTGAAAATGAAGAGAAAATGTACCGAAATGGGCATTAGCTTAATCTAGCACATTCCCAAAACCATTGAATCTTTGGTTCGCATAAGTAAAGTATTCTACCATACTTTACCTGGCTTACTAATTGAGCCATAATAGATTAAAGGCGACTCCTAATTGAATTTAATGGCATGTTACATTGATTAAATTAAAATTGATCAGAAAGTTGCGATTGGTAAGGTTGGGCTTAGTGATCCGTTAGTTTTCCCTTGGTTGGTTCACCTCTGGGGAAGGTCTCGACAAGTAAAGAGATAGTACATTATATAGAAACGGTACACTGATGACCGTCTCATCATGCCTTGAGAACGTCTTCATCTTGCATGTTAACCGTTTGCATCGTTTGGCTATGAGCCAGTTTTTCCTTTTCATTATAGATAGCAACGTGTCGTCTCCTACACACGCGGAACAATCTGAGGATATGAATTCGATTGCCGTGCTGTGGACGTCGACCAATCTCTTTTGGATCCGGCGTTCAGGTTCTGCATATTACCAGAAAACTCTTCGTTCTTCTTGTTGACTTTAAGGCCCGTTTGTTCCACATGGGCCGATCATGGCCATGGTCATATTACACTGTTTCATCTTTCTTTTCGTCTGTTTTTTGCTGATCAGTTGAATTGCTTCTGAAGAGTCTTGTCTGGTAATCTTTTGTAGCTGATTCATCCAATAGACAGTTCATTTACAGCACAAATGCATGCGGAGATCACGTTGATTCGACGCTCTTTTTTTAGGGTCTCTCATGGACTCAACAAGAGTTAGTGAAGTGTGATTGGCATGATGGTGATTTTAAGACCATGCAGTTCGCTCAGCTCACTGAGCCAAGAGGGGATTGCAACATAGTTTTGAGTCTTAGTTCGGGTTCAGTTCGGAAAGTTTATAGTCATATGACAGACGCATGGTTTTATTAGATGTCTTCGCAATCATGATGGTAGCTGCTTAGTCTCGTACTTGGTTACACACTTAGAGCCTAATCCGCTTTTGCAAGTTCTGCAGTCGCTTCATAAAAGTTGTGCTCGAATCATGTATTCACAATGCGATTCGATCAAACGGAGGAAAAAGTACCGACTTTTTCTAAGTTCAGTTTGACATGTAAAAACTCGAGAGTTCACGCTATACACCCATCAAACGGCAGGCTTCTGTCCCTCTCTTATCCACACTATGCAGACACTAGACAAGACAGATGCGAAAAAATAAAATGAGCCATTAATCGAGATTATATGCACACGCAGACATGCATGAGCCTTGGAACAGCTAGTATAGGTCTGTGAGTAGAACATACACCGCAAGCAAGCATATAATTTAGACATCCCAGTTGAGCATAAAATGATAGAATGTGCAGATATTGTTAAGCATTAACTGCTTCAGTGCTTATGTTTTAGAGCAATAAGCAACTACTAATGGACCACCGGATCCAATTAAAAGAAGCTCTATTGTCAATTCTGACGAAAGACAATCAAATTACAGAAAGAGCAGGTAAATGTATTATCCAGTTAGTCAGTTTGAATTTGCATCGAGTCTCATTTTGCACAGAAGGTAAGAAAACCCTAGAACTTCTTCCATTTCTATCACTTTTGCGCCCATTAAGCATCGAATGAGAACGGAATTGTCTCATGTTGGATACAATGATGAGCAAACAGAAAGAAATTACGATGAGATTATGGCTACTACAACTAGATTACTAATAATGATGAATTAGAGGCAATAGGTGGGGTCTAGCGTTACGCTACCATCAGTCTATTTATTCTGATTCCTCTAAATAAATTTAAAACATCAACTTGTATGCACGCTTAGTTTTTGCTGCCAAAAAGCCATCAAAATCTCAGCTATGAACTTTTATGATAATTACTCCTTATAATAGGAAAGCTAGCGGGACAATCTATAGCTCTAAGTTAATCTCGATTGTTGTTCTTTCCTTCTTACAGCATCAAAACTATCTTCTCTCCAAAAGTACGAATTATGAGTTATGAACCCTAAGCTCTGAATTGCTGCAAAAACAAGATCAATGGAATTAATCAGTGTGATCGACCGTCAGAACCCTCTAGTAGTAATTCTATTGCAACTATCCAATCTGATAATATCAACATAAGATGCCATTGGCTCACAACCGATTAACAATCTTAATAAGGAATATCCAAAAACAGAGAACACAGAAACTAAGCAAAGAAATGATAGCATGCACTTAACAAGTTGACACTTGAATCATACCTTAGCTTACGCATGAAATGCAAGCTTTTATTTGGCAATAATAGAGCTGAAGCAGTTGGAGGGCAACTCTCCTTTGGCGGGTCATTCTTGATTATTCTTCCTTTTAGTTTTTTTCAATAGATTGCCTGCCAAAGGAGAGAAGCCCTACAACCAGTTCGCTCACCTAAGTGAAGAGACATCATACGAAATGATATATTTTGACACTTCTAACTACAAGTACTGTGTCAAAGACCCCTTGGAGAGATTTATATGTAGGGCTAAAGAAGATCTTCTATTTCTAAGATTGAAGAAATGAGAGGGTAGTTGAAGGCAAGGCATATGCCATAGGATATACTGTTTTAATATGTATAAGGAGTGATCTGCTTTCTACTCATTCTATTCCATGCAAAAGTCCTTCCCGTCCTTTTCTCTGACGGCAAAAGCTACACAAATCTGTCCTTGAGATTCTACAGACCATGATTTAGACATCTCTCTCGCCCCTCCCCCGCTCTCTCTCTTTGTATGGAGGTTGAGAGAGAGAGAGAGAGAGAGAGAGAGAGAGAAAAGTAGAGGGAAATGCCTCTTTTTTCTCATGGGAATGTGGCTGCAAGATCCGGTTGTGTGAAGGTATATGCTTTGTCATATTCTTCTCAGGTCAATTTGAGGCCTTCTTTGTTTTGAAGGAAAAAATACCGTGTAAACTGGTTAAGATAGAAAGACTCAATCACGATCCAACAAACGTGTAAGATCTAGTTTAAGCTCATCCTTCCTAAAATTGTAATTAGTTTGTCCTTTTTCTAAATCAAAAAAAAAAATTAGCAACTAATGATTTAATCTAATTTCAACATTTCTCCCAGATTGAAAAACTGGCGTCAAATTGTAAGAGATAGGTACGGAGGAGATAGTTTCGGCAAGAGCTTGCATTGAAGTTGACTTGATCAATGTTATTTTTTAGGTGCGTTTGATATTCAATTTAATGCCATCTTTGTTTTGAGGGAAGAAAGTAGTGAGCAAACCGGTTAATAAGGGAGAGAGAGTCAATCGCGATCCTGAAAACGTGTATAATCTGGTGCAAGTTCATCCTTCCTTAAAGTGTAATTAGTTTGTCCTTTTTCTAAATCGAAAAACTTTTTTAGCAACTAATGATTTAATCTAATTCCAACATTTTTACCGGATTGAAAAACTGGCAACAGAGTATAAAAGATAGGTATGGAAAGAGATAGTTTCGGCAAGAGCTTGCACTGAAGTTGACTTGATCACGGTTATTTTTTAGGTGCGTTTGATATTCAAGAATTGCACATACTAAGAGAGCATTATAAGTAATGATATTTAGGTTGAGAGTCTATACTTATGTAGCACTTGTGTGATCTTACAATATTATAGTGAAAAGAACCGTCCATGCGGCCACCATCGCGCTGTCTCTCGCACCAAAATCATCGGACAAATGAATTATACGCACGCACTAAAATGAAATCGAATCCATTGTTTACGACTTGTCATGATTCTAAAATCCGAAATTCGAGAGGTAAGCAGTTCAAATCTTTAGTAATGCGAGTACATCAAACATATAAATATATACTTTACTTGCGTCAATGAAATTTTTGACCTGTTATTTTGTTACTTCCATTCGGCAGAGGGAGAAAAATGTTCAATAATACACTTCCGAGTATTAATTAGCCATTGCTCCTAACTCGTTTCAAGAGGTCAGTCGATTGAGAATTGAGTGCATAGCTAGCTCACTGATGCACGCAAATAAGCCAAGTACCTCAAACTTCTGGCTCTTCTAGTGCAACAATATCACGTAATTACATTAAAAAATTGTATTCGTTCGAACGCGTTCTCTTTTGAGTCACATGGAAGGAAAAAAAAGAGATGCAATAACAGGAAGGATGTGACTTTTTCTTATGTAAGAGGGAAAATCTATTCAAGACATTGTGGCAAATGAAGATATATATTAGGTCAGTCTAAATCTTCAGAAGCTAGTACATAAGAAGAATTGTTCAGACGACCCAAATTTTCTGTGAGCAATCAATCACATATAGCATGGTTTCGTCAAAAAAAAAAATTTAATACCCGTAATGAATGTAGCTATCCAAGAAAAAGCAGTATTTCCAGAGTTCTGTATCTCTTTCACACTAAGCAATTCCAAAGACTACTAGAGAAATGATCCATATTCTAATCCCCAAACCGTTCTGCACTTAATATTATTGACAATAATAATGGTTCAAAACTTATTGCAATCCAATATGGAAGAAAAGCCCATAAGACTCTCATTTATAGAATTCTACACGTCAAAGAATAAAAATAAATATAAGGAGAAAAAGGATGAGGAGAAATATAGGTGAAAAAAATGAAGTAAATGTCAAAACACATCCAGACATATTTACACGAGAGGAGTCTAGTAGAGAGAATTGTAGGTGCAGAGGGTGGCGATGATGGATGAGATGCATATGATGAGCGAAGGAAGCAGAGTGACATTCAGGAGTTTGCTGTCGCCCAAGTACCCAGCTAGAGTTATGGTGCTATCTGCTACAACACGAGCGATGGTACCAGCTTCTGTCGAAAGCAAGCCGCCGTTATACGTTCCTCTCGAGAGCCGAGAAGACATGACACGAGATAGTAGCGACAAGTTGACACCTGAAACGAAGAGGAGTATTGAGTTCAACATTACACAATCTAATACATAATATCAAGAGCAAGCCTCTTTGGAGGTGATGCTCAAGCAGACTAAGGTGTATTTTGGATATCGCGTTTGCAATTCATGTTAGGTATCTATGAGTGTAAATATTTGCATTAAAAGAAAGAAGTCAATATGACAAATGCATGCTTAAAAAAATAAGGAACCTAAGGGTAAAGGACAGTTTCTCCAGTATTGTAAAGGTGAAGGAGCACTAAGTCGCCAAATAACAGAGAAATATACATGAGAATCAACATAAATGTGACAAGTATCCTAATGGTTTGGTTCTACTACCTGGAACAATATATTCCCCTTTTCACTAATATATTTCATTAAATAGACCACGCCGTGCTAGCTGATGAGGTATTCACACTAGAGGTGCAGTAAGGGGTGTGCAAGAGAACCTTTGGAATCTGCAAACCGTGCAGAACCAGCATGGTCAAATAGGTTCTAAGTTGGGCATTAGAGCTCACGGGGTAAGTTCTAGGTTCCAAAATCTCAGAAGTAAGGAGTACACGATAGGTTCCAAAATTTGGGGTCATACCACCCTACATTCTACCCCGTGTAGAGCTGTACATGGTACCGCCCTGGATAATCTTTCTCAATTAAATATAGATTTACTAAACCATTCATCAATTTCTCTTTTCCTTTACGAAATTTTGACATTTAAATGTGTGGAAACCCTAATTATTCAGCAACTCCAATCCCATCAGACAAAATAAATCTCCAACTCCATTTTATCAGGTAATCCAAATGTTGTGTTGAAATGTTCAACGTGTCCATAACTAGAATCGAGACAACTTTTTATCCAATAGACACTGTCCTGAAAAAGTGCAGGGTAGTACAGGGTACCCTGCAACCTATGCAACTGACAAGTTCCAAGTCCCAGGATGGTCCCAGAAGCCAATAAAGAAGGTTTTAGGCTACGGCAAATATCCTACCCACCCGAGAACCTGCAAACCCTTAGGTGCAGTGCATGTCCAAATTAGAAAAATCTGTAAGCTCTCTATTTTCACTAGCCTGCAATATTAGCCCTGTCTTTCCTTCCCTTTCCCGCTTCTTATAGTAGTAAGTTCTGTGAGTGCAGCACTATGGTATATTTAGCACTGCCTAAGAAATTATAAACTGATCAACTAGAACAAAATCTTACCTTCAAGCACTTCAGCCGAAACGAACATGATGAGTCCCGAAATGACATACTGTGGAACGGAGTAGGGAATGAATACACGGAAGCTTAGGAGTATGCCAATGCAAACCACAATTTCAGATGCCAATAAAATTTGCCTGCAGTCAAATCACCGAGAACGATTACAATTTTTTTTTATTTTGGTCAGAGAGAATGATTACAATGAACATGTCCAAAATCAACAAAATATAATGAGTAAAAAGCGGGGCAAAAATTTCGGTTTTACCTGTCTTCAAACATGTTGCAAATGTAGCTTCCGACAACAATGTTTACGGGGAGAACTGTCAAGCCAAGGCACGCCAAGAATATGGCAACACTGCTTGTGGACCAACTGAAGTAATATGTGGTAATGACACTCGATTCTGAAAGTAGTATCTCCATTGCATACTTTAGCATGAAATAAATCAATAACTGTACCTATTAGACAAAAAAATCTTTGATTAAAGGATACTGTGAACGAAGTGTTTTGGCTCCAGACAGAAATTACCTAAAACCTGAAAACATTTTAGGTGAAGAATAAGGATCGAGAATCAAGAGACTTCCCTTCACCAGCGGCCGGTAAAGACAAATAAATATACAGGAAAGTAGGAATTAATAGGCCTGGTAACAATTTGACTAGCTGAACATTAAAGAAATAAAGATATCCATGACTGATGGAATAAATAAAGATGCAGCCCAATTTAAAGCTATTGGTATGATCACAATATGAACGTAAGCCTTTCCAGCTTCTTTTTCAAGGTGGCCTAGTATGTCAGATGTGACAACTCAAGATCAAGTGAAATACCGATCCATAAAAACTAAAAGGTGATGAATACTCCAGAGTCAGAAGTCTACCATTTGAGGGTCTGCTAAGACGCATAACTATAATGATCACCCCGCATAAGCCCCTCCGATAGGACTACAAACATTCCAAACTCAGTGAGCAAGCTTTAGGTCAATTTATTGAGAATGTCCATATTCATGTTCAAATCCTAGGACTATGGAAAATCCTCACACTGTGATCAGATGATATTATTAGCTGCCTGAGTAACATGGACATACTTAACAGCTGGTTTGAACAGACTTTATGTATTTATGCTTTTCAACATCAGATTACGATGTATAAGAAAGACAATTCATCAGTCAAACTTCTAAAGCTGTAGGAAGGAATGGCAAACCTTAACAGAAGGTGTCAATAACCTATACGCTGATCGAAGTGAAGTTGCTGCTTGCCGGGATTCGTCAGGAGCTTCATCGCTTCCTTCACATTCATTGTCACCATCTTCATCTTCCTCCTTTCTTTCTGAGCTGATAAGCAATGGTTTTTTTAGGCCATTCTCTAGTGCATCACCCTCTGCTGGTTCTGCAATAAGCAAGTTCCAGCATTCTGAACTACTCTTTTATTATTATAACGCTCTCGGGGAGAAACTGAAGAGCTACAGTCACTTGAGCAATTATTTTAGGTCGAAAGAAGATTCACAGAGAACACACTTAACAATAATAACACAATAAATATTTTTCGTCCCAGTCACAGATAAATTATCCAACACGACATGATTATCCAGACTATGGTGATTGACCTTCAGGAAACCTGTTCCAATTAGTCCTCTGGCAGACATTTTGTGCAGCGAAGTAGAATGACAGGCAAAAGCCAAATTGTTGGAAACATTGCCGCCATCCCGCTTAGAAAAATCAAAATGTCAAGTAAATGTAACTTTTCGGGGGGTGGGTTCAGATGACAGAAGAAAGGGTTTTATGAAATGAAGTAAAAAAAGGATTGTGACCGAGATATTTGCACTTTGCCTGATATCACACGCATAGAGTCAATTACCGAGATCCTGTAGATAAGGTCACAGCTTCCGGTTTATCTCACAATTACTTGTCATGATAAAACAAGCAAATAAAGCACAACCTTAGCTCCCTTGATGCCAACAGAGCCACTAATCAGCTGATCTAGATCTTCTTGGTCTTCACTGAACAAGTTGCTAGCATTACCATAACCTAAGGATCTCAAATGCTGAAATGGCATATGTCCATCCTTGCCAAACGGAAAGAGGTTTGCTCTGATTTTCACAAATTAAGATTTAAAGGAGCAACCGATACTTCTATCAACATACTTGTATCAACATTATCAAGTCTAAAAGGATTAGATTAAATGCAAGTGCTTCCACAATACATCTTAGCCAAGGATATGACCAGCAAATACAGAATAAAAGAAAATTTGTGATAAAACCATATACCTGCATTTGATTCCTGAGGTGTTTCATTTGCTTCCACCTCAAGAGAAGGTTCCTTAAACGAGATCCAACACCAAATTAAGTATATAAGCCAAGCCACAGCCATTAACCATCCAGGCAAAGTGTCTTGATTAAATGTCAACTTGTAAATCTTAAAATCGTATTGAAGTAGTCCAGCAAGAGCAGGACCACAAGCCATCCCGAGAGCACTTGCACTGACAAAACCTGCGGAGGCCTGCATGCGGATCTTCAATGGCACACAGTCGCTGATGTAACGCCGGTTAACAGCTCTAGCAGAACCTAACCTGACATTGAAGAGATGCAAGCTTGTTAACCTTTTACTTTCCCATCACAGATGAACTAGAATGAAGTTCTTCATTTGTGAAGTACAAAAGCAGATGCAAAACCTGCCACTATTAGATACTTTGGGGTTTCTTCAAGCAGTAGCCTCTTTTTCTATCATTTCAATGCAATGGAAGGCAGTGAGAACAAAAGCTATGGCCAAATTAGAGGAGGACAAACAGCACAATCCACCAGAGGCGGACTGAATGAACCTCAACCTACGCTAGATGCTCTATGTTAGAATGGTGTCAAATGGTGAAGTCTTTTTTCTCTCCTCGTACTTGTTTTTCGCTTCTTGCTTTTTATCCAGCACTTTATCAAAATTTGGATTTGGCCAATACAAGAAAGAAAGAGCATAAGATAGGAAACCGGTCCTATTCTATCTGAAGATAATTGGTTCTGGTCAGAAATCTCAGGAGCCCAACTAATCTGTTAAGATACAAAGAATGTTCTGCACCTTTCACTAACTTAGACATTTCAAACTCGCAGTTGTGCATGCGTTGTAGCATAGTATCCGAGCAAACGACTTAAGCCATTGAGAAAAACGGTTATGTCCATTGATTCGGATGCCAAAAGCTAACTGGATCATTAATGGAACCTTGTGTACCACTGTTACAAAGTTGAAAACAACTCATACTAATAGAAACAACTAGCCAACTAATTCCACAGCTGATATTTTAGTCGACAGCCTCCTCATTTTGCTTCAGAAATCAGAAAAATAGCAACTACAGATAATGGAAATAAATTCAAGAAAATTGACTTTCTTAGAGCACAACGGCGGATTCAAAGAGAGCAGACTCCCTATTGCCTTCAGAAACACAAAAGATGTCCTTCTGCTCTATGCATTAGTAGACCAACGACAGCTGCTTTAAACATAAAAAGGTAATCCAAATAGCTAGTTTTGCCTTTGTTTCCTATGGCTGTGGTTTTATTTACAAGGACTTCCATCTTGATACGGAGTACAAATAGAGTCGTGAGCTTGAGGAATCATGATAAATGACAGTTTACATTGGTCAAATGAACTAGAAAGGCATTTATTATTCATCTCAAAGCACGGACTAATGAGAAAAGATGAGAAAAGGACATTTTACTTACCCACAAAAAAGCCGACCCACTAGAAGGACCACTACAGAATCAAGATCATATGCCAACGCATACATGACATTGCCCACGAAGAGAACAATACTGCTGAATACGAGAGGCCTGAAGTATGATTTATTTGACCAAGCACTGAAATACACCGAGGAGAATATCTGTGCCATTGCCATTGCTCCAATCACAATACCACAAACTGTTGCTGCAGCTCCAAGACTCAGGGCATAGTCATCTGCTGTGGGGACAATGATGTATGTATTGACCATATAAAGGAATGTGTTGGCCAAGTTCAACATAAGTGACATAAAATGATATCTTTGATCTTCAACATGTTCATCAACAGGATCCGGTAGCTCTTCTTGCAAAATGAGTGCATGTTGTGCCAGAAAGTTAAGGAAGTTAGTTGAATATGTTAATCTGTCCACCGCAGCTTTCATTGAGTCAATGACAGAATCCTGCAGACACGTGTCATAATGAAACAAAATCCAAGACTGGATCCCTACATGAGAGAAACCAACTTTTGGCTGCAGGGAAGTATTAAGCTAGCAGCATGAGCTACTTGAGCAAGTTGAACAGAGAACGAAATCTAAGGAAAACCTGGAGAGGAAGAGGTGGCTGGTCATATATTGATAAGTAGCTTCCTTGGCGGTCCTGAAGTTCCCCTAGGTTACGCGAAATTGCACCAACTACAGCCCCTATTCCCTGCAATACACATGAAAGATCTTAAACAATCAAAGTCTACGCGTAGACTGTCCATTTAGCAGTAGAGGACGTGCATTGCAGTACATTTAATTCGGAAATCACAATCCTCAAGAAGAATTTCGATAAGTGACAAGAGTAAAAGAAGATGCATCCATTTCAGCATATTACCACATGCTTGAACACTTGCTGCAGCTGGGAATAAGGGTGATTTGCACGAGTCTTGATATAGTAGTCCGTGAATTGATAACCAAGACGCTTGTCAAACTTCTTCAGTATCTTGCGCAAACCTATTGCATTTATTTCGACGAAGTATAGAAGCTTCAGAAGATCATGTCCCACAGTTTTATAGGCCTCTCTTAATTCAGATATTTGAGATATATCAGGTTGCTCCTGAAGACCTTCTTGCTGCTCGCCAAGCTTAGCTATCCTGCTCGCAAGTAGGCCTTGTTGTTCCAACAGGAAAAGGACGATTTTTTCAATCTGGAATTATACGAAGAATGAAGCAGTTGAAACCTATTTCGTAGACCCAAGTAAAGGGAGAAAAGCATGAGACATTGTATTGTCGATTCTTCCATAAAAGTATTACATGCACGCACATGCTCTCACACAAACACAACACACCACCTGCACCATCACTTACTTCTTTAAATTTACTTCACATGATACATTGTTCAAACAAGAGTAGTAAGCATAGAATGCATGCCATCATGTCCATCCACTACCCATGAGACACTAAAAAATTGGATTTTTTTATGGGTGCATTTAGTGCCCTTTCCAAGTAACAAAACAAGGAATTTTCCAGTTTTCAAAGTACTCACTTTGCTTGTGGTACATATGTCGGTGCTTTGAATAGCAACTCATTTCCTATTATGCATACTTAACAATATACCCTTTGAGCACTCACTAACATGACCTTAAAAAAAAATTGCACCTTCCTTTGAAGTGGCCATATGCACCTGCAAGCTAAGAGAGAGAGACATAGAAGCCACAAGTACTCGTGTAGTACTCGTGTAGTACATGCACGTATACTGCAGGTTGAGCACTATGGCTCTTAACCTGCTGATATTCAATAAACAGAGCTACTTCTTCCCTAGCATAGACACTAAACAGATGACTTTCTTCATCTTCAAAATGCAAATACAGCTTTTTCCGTTCAATAGGAAAAAGACAAGCAGGTACAGGATAGTCGTTTTGTCAAACTGCTAAATCAATTACATAAAACACTTCATGACTAGTTCAAAATTTACCAGCCGTTCACAGAAAAGCAAAGCTGAATGAATTGCATAAAAAATGACTCCAGAGACATACAATAAAAAAAAAAATAGCCAACCAATATTGCATCCTATTCAGTGACCCTGAATTTGAAGCATGAAGTTTACATTTTCTTTGCTACCATAACACTAGCTCCTATTTACTTCAAGGGATTTGATACCTGGTTATCTAGCATTCTGGAAAAATCCTTCAGCACATACCGCCGATTTTGTGTTCCAATCTCAATTTGCTGAGCATATTGTCTCACCTTTTTCTTCATCATCTTATAATTAATGTAGTATCTACAAAAAGAATCAGAATACACCTAATTCTGAGAAAATTTCTCAACGTACAAATATGTGAAAGTAACAAAAAGGAATACAAAGAACAATGCTTTAGACGATTAGTGTGGCCTTTCTACCTCCCCTGCCCTTTTTCTGCTATACATGAATTTGCGCTTGTGTAATGACATGGCTGGTTTGATGAGACAAATTTAAGTTGCGATCATGCAGGAATATTTTAAGTACTAGGAAAATGATGCAATAGATTCATTTTGAAATCTGCAGATGTAAAAAAAAAATTGGAGGTCTGTTAGGATCACAAATGCATCATGATGATCTTGCGCGATTTTAGATTAACATGAAAACTGATAATGACAGTTCAGAAAAATTTTAAACTGATGTAGATGCAGGGAACTGCTGACTGAGCAACAGTGATAAACGGCAGACAGGTGATCCAACACCATCTAGAAACAAAGGTGATGCAACACCATCTAGAAACAAATTGCATTGCTTTCAATCTCAACGTGGGATGGTTATCAGATCACCACCAATGCCTGTCCCGATTAGTCTCCCTAGGACAAAAGGGCAATGGAACCACATTTTAATGTATCAGACATACCCCTGCCATTCTGCAATCTGCCTTTCCTTCAACTTTTTGCCAAAGGCAACCATCTTTCTCTGCAAACAAAGTATAAGAGATAAAGAGAACACAGAATAAATCAAAAAGACGCTAAATATCGCGATTTTGCAATCTTCATAAAATCATGAGTCATGAGTTGGTCATCAATAAGAAGGATAGTGAGGAAATAATATAATGCAAAGTCACAAGGCCAGTAAGTTCCTAGATTTGGTTAAATATAGAAGTGTTTTAGCAATATGGGTCGGGTCGGGTCGGGTATGGTTCGGGTTGGGGATGGGTCGGTAGATTTGTATTGCATGGAAATGGGTTTCAATTTGGGTGGGACCATTTTCGACCCAACCCTACCCCACCCGTTTCGCGGGTCTAGGTTGAGTATGATAAACCAATGAAAACCCCCCAGCACTAGCTATAAGTATTAGATAGAACGGTACATGATTACCTGCTTTTGTTTTCAATCCAATTTAGTTCATATTCCTGCGTAATATGAGTTTACGAACAAACCAAAAATACTGTAGGTCACGCTAGCGGTTACCAACAGCACCTAAGAGTATTAAAGCACCGTCAGTCTGTTCAATTCAGGAATCAGCTCTTACTTCAGCCGCAAGAGAGTATTATTTGAAACAACGAATAAGTAGAGAAGGCACCAGGTTGGCTTGATAATCACGTCAAACTTTTTGCATATTTTTCTTCTTCAGATGCATGACAAAGCATCAGTCATCCTATGCCTCTATAACACATTTCTCCCCCAAACTAAGCAGACACCATGTCAAACAAACTTAACTAATTCCCATGCCACCTACTCCGCTAACTCGTACAGCAAGATCTGAAAGGATAATTCTATGTGCTTTTCGAACAGCTGACTTAGGCACAGACAAGAAAGATAATCAGGCACCGATTCCTGCACTCCATATATCATTCAAACGGCAGTTGCATCGGTTGAAATTCAACGATGCACGCTAAAACGCGATCACAACCGACAAAAGCGAAAATCAAAGTAAAAAAGCAACACTCTTTCACCAACACACAAAGAAGTAGTAACAATAGAGACCTGTACCTCTGTGAATTTGTCGATCCAAACAAAGAAAGTCGCATGAAAAAAAAAAAATACTAGAACAGGGAAGCTGAATCAAAACACCAACCACGTGGAATTCAACAGTCCAAAACAGGACGAGCAAGCTCCGCAGCTCAACGAAGACAACGTACGGAAAAGAGAAGCAAAAAAGAACACCAGCTCGCTCGCTCGGGAGTCGAACTTCCAAGCATCAAAAGAAGAACGCCAAACACAGAGAGAGAGAGAGAGAGAGAGAGAGAAACGCGCGCGCGCGCGCAGAGGATCTGCATGCTGCACCTCAATTGCTCCGAAAGAAAGTCGCGTCTCTCGACCAAAACAGAGCACCGAGCTTCGCGCGCAACGTTAAAAAAAACAATCCGTGATTCGGAGAGCGGGAGGAGAACGAAACTTACCGGGGCGCGGATACAGCGGACCTCCTTCCGACAATCCAACTCGCGGGCGGGAGCCTTAGATGAACATCAACGAACGGACGGCCTGAATCGGGGAAAAAAACGGGACACACAAAAAAAACAAGCGGCGCGTCGCGCATCAGCTCCTTTTCCTTGGCGGCCAGCTAGGGAGACCAAAAAAAAAAGAAAAAAAAAAGAGGAACACGACACGACACGACACACAAAATGCAGCGGACGAGCACGAAAAGAAGAGAGAGAGGGAGAGGGAGGGAGGGGTCGGTCACCTCTCGAAGCAGGACGGGAATCGAGAGCGGCGGAGGAGAGGATTCCGCCGGTGGCGATCGCTCGCGAAGCTGCGGCGGAGAGAGGTATGAGGGGAGGGGGAGGGGAGCTCAGGATCAGCTCGAGAGTTTTTTGTTTCGCGAAATGGCGGGGGGTGTGGCGGCCGTGAAAATTCGGTTACTTGGTGGGGCTTGGGGTCAATTTGAAAAAAATAAAAAAAAAAAAGCAGCAAAAATATATGTTCATATTTATGAGTATCTTTTTGTTTAATAAATATGAATATTTCCTGAAAATCGCGAATATTCAAAAAATTGCCTTATAAGAGCCCTTTGATAAAACTAATGGAAACATTAAGTGCTTCGGAAAATTTAATTTGTATAAAAAAAAATTTAGCCTAACGAAAATGCCGGCTAATTTTGTTTTTTTTTTTTCCCGGGAAGGACTCAACTGATTTCGCAAATTGAGGGTCGAATCGAAGCTCGAAGTTTTTGTGCTCTATCGTGTTGAAGTAGACGGGCTAAGACTCAAATACTCGATGATGGATTACATAGCGCAAATCGCGAGTACATAAAAAAAAAAAAAAAACGAATCGTGTCGTGTCGTTTTTCTAACATATTATACTTTTGAGAACGAGTAAGATCGGATGCGCGGGACTCCGATAAAGAGTAAGTTCGTAAATCACATCAATCATTAAGGTTTGATTTTAGTGATGACTCGAAGCAGATCATATGAAATGATTTCTTCTTGACTTTGCTTGTGGTCCATATAAACGCCAGAGAATGCGACCTTACTATCAAAGTCGACATCATGAAGATCCATATAAATCTGGTCGACATTTCCTTTTCTGGGCCTTGGTTTCTTTTGTTTTTTTTATTTCCCTCTCCCGATCTAATCCGTGAGTCCTTTTTCGCCTCATTTGGTGTCTTCTTTCGCTCGTTGTCGTTGCTTTTCTTTAGCCGTCGTGGTAAATAAACCTACTTGGAGTTGAAAATTTTGTGAGAAAGTCGTCACCGATCCAACCGGAAGGATGCCCGAGACTTGGCTCTATGACTTCTCCCTCCCCTCTCCAGATTCAGGAGTAAATCTAAATATGGAAACTTTTATCTCTCGATCTAAATCTAGATCCATAACTTTCTTAGAACGGGAGCCTGGCTCGCAAGGGTTTTCTACGTGAGAGACGAGGTTGCGATTTTTAAAGGCATCATTCAAACCAAAACGATTTAACCGGTCGGCTGACTCCTTTTTTTTTTTTTTCAAGTGTCGCAACACGGAAAAAATTGTCCCGAAAAATCCTAAACCCATCTTTCAGCGACCAATTCAATCCTAATCATTTCAATCGTGCCAATTTAGTCTCAAACATTTTGACGATTTGCCAATGGTGTTTTAAAATGATATGCCGATTTTAGTTGGTCGGAAAATAGTCGCGCGGCTTTTTGGTCGCGTCGATAATGAATTTAGGATTTTTTTGGATAATAACACCCCCCCCCCTCGTTTTTTTCTTCAAATTCTGCCAAATCGCTGGCGACTGATCCCGAGTTAATTCTTTAATCCGAATTCGAGAAATAAAAAAAATGCAAAGGTGGCAGATCTCTGTTCAGTTCGCAACGTGGCGCCGCGGTCCTTTCGCAATCGGGATTAATATATCGAGGGAAATCTTATCCTCTCAAAAAGAGCGAGTGAGAATGCATCGATGCACCTTCTGTAAATATAGCGATTAGTTCGGTTTTGACTCGAAGGAAGCAAAGAAGTGTAGGCCCTCTACACCCCACACCGAAACCTGAACATATGTACACATTGTCATCATTAATCGGTTTGCCCTGTTCTTCAGCTAACATCATCGCAAATCAAGCAATAATTTTCCCCCACGAAGAGATCCGACATAACTTTTCGAGAATCATGAGGCCCATCATTTTCCGGTCGGACCGGAGCAAAAGGTGAGAAGGGCGGGCGGCGCGACACGAACTTTTGTCCTTGGTGTTTTTAGCTGAAAAGGACTCCTGACATATTCCATCCCCGTAATAGTAGTAGCGCGTGGGCCTCCGTGAATTCGCCTCCTTTTCATTTTGGTCCCTTACGAAACCCCCTCGCAGGAATGTCGATAAGGATGGGCTCGCCGTCTTGATCTCATGGCCACACGGGTCAGACATCGAGATGTCACGTCCAGATCTGAAGCTCGACCCCCCTAGTTGCATTTGGAGGTAAAAATTAGATACTTGTTTGGTCGCACGGTTCGTGAAATTAACATGAATCCGGAGTTCGAGATGAATCTCCGCTTTGAGATTGATTTGTGTCCGTCGCGCCGGTAAAGCGACGGCCTGAATCTGGGCGATGATATCGGAGCATGCGATGGTTCGGACTTCCGGCTCTTTCCTCCATTTGCACAAGTCTAGATTGTTAGAAGTGAGAAAACGTAAGTTGGATCTGCTGGGCAATCTGATACACACCCGATAGGAATGTTGTTGTGATAATAATACATACTCAAGACATAATCAGTAGTCGTCGAGAACAACAGAACAAGCTTAACTGAGTTTGGCGATCGCAGCGATAATCCCATGTTAATGGAAGTCCTTGAACGAGCGGAGAGAAATGCATCTTCTAAATAGAGAAAAGACCTATAACTAAGTTTGGTTGCATTTATAAAATATAGAGTTCTCGCATGTATATACTTAAATAGATGTAACATAAGATTTGTGCAAACCATTGTTATCATGATCCCGGGATAACACCAACTTTCAATGGAATCAATTATAATAGAGTGCGAGCATGTTAGTCTTTATCTGGCGGTCGCAAATCTGATAGTTTGGTGGACTTAATCAAGTGTGGACTTAATCAAGTGCGCGACTGAATATGATCTCCCTTTCACTTCTCTATCCGCGTTGGGCATACTGTCATTGAAAACTTGGAAGACTTGCGCAGTACGTACATTGCCTTATAAGATGTAATCTCCAGTTAATTTATATCTTTCGAGTAATGAGCAAATTCAAACACTACAACTTTTGTTCATCTTGATTCGATCATCCATTTGATCTTGGGACTAACAGGCGTCAGACTGGTTTGACAATTAAGACACCATCAAGAAGAGAAATTTAACTTGCAAAAGAATGCGCACATGGGATACAAGAATGTGAATCAGAATGTGCACATTTTTGGCGTTCGTGGACGATTAAAACAAATCAGATGCACTGAAAGAATCAAACTTGACATGATAGAACTCGGGAAATCGGCCGCCTTTCGCCGAACCGAAAATGATGGGAAACGCCTATTGTAGACTGAGAAGACGTACACGACAGGAAAATTGATGAGAGGATATGGATAGTAATGCCGAACGTGCGGATGTGCATGCTAGTCAATAGTCCAATTTAGCAGCATGGAGAAATACAAAAAGATCAAAATCAGCACGTTCAAAATCCATTTGCAGAAGAAACAAAAAAATAGTACCGCTTTTACTAAATATTATAGTACTTTGATGCCTACAAGAAAATGACATGAATCAAGAGAACATGTAGGAAATCCTCATTGTACCTCGTTCAATAGGAATGTCATGTTCTACGCATGTGGGTGAGTATCGAAATAAAGGGTTCGTATACCGGAATTAAATCGTGCCTTTTGTGCTTGAATGAGGCAAGGAAGACTCGAATCAAAACCGGATCAAGACAGAGGAACCATGAGGGACAATAGTTACTTGACAAGTTTGCAAATTCAGAACTTATTCGATATACTTCTATCGACTTACTTCGATTGACGAAAGAAGAGCTTACCTACCGTCACGACAAAAGGTTACCGTCCATTAGAGGTCTATCTCACTCCCAAAGGACAGAAAGCGGGAGCGCAAATCACCAAAAGGCGATCGACCAGGTACAACAACTAAGCTTACATGGAAAACGAGTGCAACATTTTTCCGATACATTACTAGAAAACAGGAAAGATGGATGCGCTTTAAGAGCTTCTCGTTGCTGCTTCCACTACATCTCTTCTGCCAATCAAATAAGTAGGCAAACGAAATGCAGTAAAAGGAGCAAAAAGAAGCGTGGAAAAGGACAACCATTTATTTAATCAATTGGCCAAAAAAGATAAAAAGAGAACGCTGATTACAGGTACTTGGCTGTACATGCCGTTCCGTCTCTCCACAGAAGCGTAGCATTCTATACCAGCTCCACCTCGTGTTTCAACCATTTCAATTGGTAGGTTTTTGCCCTTTCGGGAGCAATTATCTCGAGGGCGCCAAGAACACACTTGTGATAAGAGAAGTCTTCCGCCGTTCCATCAGCTCTGACCAGCATGAAGCAGCGAGAATCTTGGTGCTTGGGGTGATGTCCAACCTGAGAGATGACGGTAAAGACAAAAAATCAGCAGTCAGCCTATGCCAGGGCAAAAGTTTCTCCAAACCAAACTCCCAGATAAAAGAACAATATGAAGCTAGTCTGAGCATTCTGACCTAAAAAAAAAAAAAGCAAGTTTTAGCATGAGTTCCCCGCAATCAACATTTGAATCACATTGTGGTTTGCTTGTGCAGAATTTCCTGTGTTATACATATGCCAGGGATCAGAGGAAAATCTTTATCTTTTGTTTTGAAAAGCAGCTGTGTTTTTGTATTTATAAACTCGTTCTTGCAAAATAAGCTGCAAATATCATAACCTCAATAATTTGTGGAACTCCCTTGGATAGAGCCTCATATCAGCTCAAGGCCGCATTATTCTCCAAGGAAGTAATACTAATAAGGAATTGATCTCATTAATGCTCTACTCCGCTCGAGAAACCCAAGTGGGATTAGTTGGAACAGATAGTACATGCTCGAGTAATGTTCCTCGCAGGGAGAATTCAGCCGGTATTAACGAGAATAATGTGAGGTATGCTAAGAACGGTTTACAAAATTAGTTTACAAGGCCCACTCCCACTCGCAATCTGTGAAACCAATTTTATAAGTCAATCTCAGTACACCTACAGTTCCTCTTTTAACAATCACGGCAAGTTTATCCATTTCAATTCAAGAAACAGATGAAGTATTAGGGGAAAAGTCCTGTGCCAAAAGTGACTACAAATTTCTTTTCGACAAAGCACTCAATTTGAAAGACCATCACCTTCGTAAACTGACCTACACTCATCTTTGACTACTGCATGGCAGACA